AACCAGCTAAAACTAGATACTTAACTAGTTTTAAGCAGCATGACAGTAACTAGCAACTTTCTCCCATGGAGGCGTAGCATGACAAAACCTGACATTGCTTTTCTTTTTTGAGATTTTTTTTTTAGCTTTTCAGCTAAACAAATCAATTTATTTAATGTATTTTATAATGTCCAAAGCATTTCAGAGACAAATTTGTTAGGACAGATCAAGTGTTTATTTATTTGATTTACCACTGAAGTCTTTTTTTGTGTGTTCTTGTTTGTAAATTGATTAGTTAAATGCTGCTGTTCATCACAATGCTTTTGACTTAAACCACAAAATGTATGGTATACAATTGTATTTGTGTAAAACATTTATATGTAATTTTAAAACATAAATGTTGCACACCTGTTGCCGATTGCAAGAATGTAAGTATATGAGATTGTTGCTCCTGATGTCTGATGAAGGCCTCGATGGTGGCCAAAATGTACATTTTCAACTATTAAAGTTGAATTTATTTAGAAAACGAGTGCTAGACCTTTTTCTAACTTTCATGAAAACATAAATCTTAAGAATATTGCCCCTTGTAGCTTCAATACATAGGATATTTAATTCATAGTTTGTAGTGTAGTTAGCTACTTTATTTTTGACTCTAACTCTGTATTTTGATGGTCCCACAACAGACATTTTACTGACTATAAGACTATGACTACATTTCAACTTTTTCAACCAATGAACTAATCCTAACCTAACAGTCTACTGCATTCTACTTATAGTTAGTGGAATTTCTAAAGATGACCGTCAAAATAAAGTGTAACCAACTACTTTGTTACCAACTTTAAAATATGTAGCTTAAATCTTGGGAAGTTGGAAAGAAGATTCACTGGACAAAAGACAACTGGTCTGTGAAAATACAGTTTACTCCAGATCCTCCATGCGGTTTATGGAGTTTCTGCGTGAGTAAATTAGACCCTGAATGTTTCACAGACTGCTTGGATGAGGCACCAAAATGGTGGAGATTGTCCTCTTCTTTATAATTATGTTTTTAGAGAGCACACAGAGCCTTGCTGTGGGGAAAAGAGTATCTCTGAATGAACTACTTACATGAAACATGGCTTGAATTTCAACCAGTGGAAACTTGCATGTTGAAATTTAATTTGTAATATGTAAAACTGAAATATTCCAAGGAAATGTAGAGGAAACTCAGTTCTAAACTAATTAAAAACCATTTTAGTTATATTTAAATGGAATTTTCATCAGACAACTTTGCAAAGGTGGCGAAACAAAGCATTATTTTTTCTCAAAGTGAGCTCAAATAAAAATCTTGCAGGAAATTTGCCACATAATTGATGCACTTTTTGCTAGTTTACGTCGATGTTCAGATCGAAACAGTAAGAAAATAAAATATAAATCATCAATATTTCACGTTGTTGAGCAGAAACAGTTTTGACAAAGCCATAGCTGCTTCATTCAACAGCCTGATTGCTAATAATGAATGGATGAGCACAGGATCACTACAATAAAAGTATGAAACACTTTTATAATGTTTTCATATTTTTATTTTACATTAAATAAATAAACAAATAAATACACAATAATACGGCCCGGGATCTTCAGTTATATGACTTCTTGGGATGAGACTGTGTTAAGAAACTTGGAATTTTTTCACCATCTCACGCTTAAAACTCATTCTTTCCTCTCTTTCTTTTTGCAACTTGTATGAATGTGTGTGTGCATGTTTGTTTAAGATATTAGTTTTATATATTAGAATTATCAATAAAGCCTTGATTGTATTTTAAAGAGAATTGATCTTCTGTTATATGCTTACAGATTTAATGTCTTAAACTGCTGATCAAAGTTTCCTTGCTAATAAATAGTGTTTCACTAGAGTTTAGATATTTATTCCCGCTGCAGAGGTTATAGTTACGGCCCGATTCAATGAACGCTGGATGAGTCATTTGCTTGGCTTTATATTAAGTGATTCTGTTAAGATTCCCTATAAATTAATTGATTGATTGATTTCTTTTGAGCTAAATTTGCCTGTCTGGCCTTTTAAATACATGTTATTATACTGTACGTAAGTTGTCTTACAGAATTGACACATCTTACCATTACAACCATTAGTAGAGCAAAGTCTGAAAGAAATGCATCATATTGAGGTAAATCAATCTCTGCTCTCCCACAGAGACACAAACTTTTCACTCTAGAATAATTGGGAAAGTTGTGTCTCCATGGAGAACAAATCAAGTTTTTTCTTTTTTTCCCAAATTTAAACTATTCTTGAAAAACAACCAGTGGATAAAGATCACTTTAGAAATAACCAATTGAAAAAAAGAGATAATTTGATGGTAAAAATAACATTTCTGTTCTTTGTGACTTGACCGCCGTGAGTTGTGACCAACTGTGAAGACAGGCAATTAAAGATGTGAATGTGTGCATGCATTCCCAACCCGGGTGAGGCTTTATTACAAAGTGCAAATCACGTAAATTAAAGTAGATTTCCTGACAAAACATAATAGAAAGCAATGCAGTCCCGCAGATCGCGACAGATCATTTGCATCCGACCCGTTTGAGCCGGAAGAGAGATTTATGCTTCACCACCAGGTGAACAGATTAATTGATTCTGTAGCACTTCCCTTCACCAAACCCTTTTCACTGGGTGACATTTATACAAACAACAAAATACAAAAATGTAGTTGCAAGAACATGAGTGTGATCTGACCTTATAAAACCCAGGGAGAGGCAAAAAACAAAACAAAAAAAGCATCACAGCCGTGGTTGTTTTGAAAGTGATGTGTACTCAGGGTTGACAGAGGGGCATCTGCTATTACACACCACAATTACTGAGATCCCGGAGCTGCAATGAGAACCTCCATAAATGGAGTGCGTGTGTGTGTGTGTAGAGAAAGAGGGACCCCTGAGATTGCAAATGATCCAATGCTGAGGCTCAGCCAATTATGAGCTCTCAATAGCTTAGGTCTGCTATCAATGGCCAGTCATATGCAGTTACTTCTGCCAGTAACCAGCGTGAAGTGCATCAACGGCACCACCATACTGTGTAATACTGACAAATAAAAGACAACAATATTTACTCACAGTGCGTTACTTAATAAAACGCTGTATAACAAAGTAAGAGTGTAATTCTTCAAAGCACCTCGACAAATAATCAATTGCTCCAGTCAACTCATTGCAGTTCAACGCAATTTGAGTTGTTATAACAGGATCCAGCCGATAGCTTTCACCGTCCCAGCGGCATTGGAGAATGCCGATTCCAATCATCACTGAGATGCTGTGGTGGATTCTCCTAATAATGCGGCTGTATTGAAACTGTCAGGGTAGACCAAAACTCAGCGTAAGCTGTATTATGTGCAAACTTATCAGTGACTAAAAGCTATATTTCCGTGGAGGTGGATAAACATAAATCCTTGTAGGATGACACCAGTGAGCTGTTGGGATTAAATAAACTGCATCACTGCACCATTTTTAAATATCAATATTATGTTTTTTCTTTTCTGTTGATAAAAATGCAATCTATTTTTCCAGAGAGAGCTTTCCAACCACAGATTTCTAATTTTGCGAAACCTATAATGAATCTTTTTGATTTTTAGCGAGGCTGATGCTAGAAGTAAATATTCAGTGACAAGCATGCCAAGCACTTGCATGAATAGAGTACGAAACAGGCCTTGAAACTCACAGTTGTCATTTTTTCCTTCACCAAATGTTCAATGAAAGATTTTGAGCTTGCAGAAAATGCCCATGCAAATTGATCATTTACATGATGGGGTTTCATTTTCAGTTCATTGTAACCTTGTCACCAAAAGCGGCAATTTATATCAATAAACATTAAATCGAAAAATAAGCGGTTTGTTTTATAAAAATTTTTGTTATACTGGTTGAAACTCTCTTCACATCCTGATAGCAAATGATGTTTTATTAACAAAGTTCAGGAGAAACACATTCGAACGATCTATCCAATCAGCATGAGAGGAGGCCTATATACATAGCCAACTCACCTAAAGGGTTATTAGGAACACCTGTTCAATTTCTCATTAATGCAATTATCTAATCAACCAATCACATGGCAGTTGCTTCAATGCATTTAGGGGTGTGGTCCTGGTCAAGACAATCTCCTGAACTCCAAACTGATGTCAGAATGGGAAAGAAAGGTGATCTAAGCAATTTTGAGCGTGGCATGGTTGTTGGTGCCTGAGTATTTCACAATCTGCTCAGTTACTGGGATTTTCACGCATAACCATTTCTAGGGTTTACAAAGAATGGTGTGAAAAGGGAAACACATAATCCTGTGGGCAAAAATGCCTTGTTGATGCTAGAGGTCAGAGGAGAATGGGCCGACTGATTCAAGCTGATAGAAGAGCAACTTTGACTGAAATAACCACTCGTTACAGCAAAGCATTTGTGAAGCTATAACATGCACAACCTTGAGGTGGAAGGGCTACAACAGCAGAAGACCCCACCGGGTACCACTCGTATCCACAACAAATAGGAAAAAGAGGCTGCAATTTCCAAGAACTCACCAAAACTGGCCTATCTGAGCGTTGTTTCTGACCATGTCCATCCCTTTATGGCCACCATGTACCCGTTCTCTGATGGCTACTTCCAGCAGGATAATGCACCATGTCACAAAGCTTGAATCTTTTTAAATTGGTTTCTTGAACATGACAATGAGTTCACTGTACTAAAATGGCCCCCACAGTCACCAGATCTCAACCCAATAGAGCATCTTTGGGTTGTGGTGGAACGGGAGCTTCGTGCCCTGGATGTGCATCCCACAAATCTCCATCAACTGCAAGATGCTATCCTATCAATATGGGCCAACATTTTCTAAAGAATGCTTTAGGCACCTTGTTGAATCAATGCCATGTAGAATCAAGGCAGTTCTGAAGGCGAAAGGGGGTCAAATACAGTATTAGTATGGTGTTCCTAATAATTCTTCAGGTGAGGGTATGTGCCAGGGATACGGGGGGAACCACAAGGAAAAGAAATTGGAGCTGACTTTATTAGGAAGCATTTACATCTGGATATCCTGTGGCAACTGAAAGTTTGATAGAGTCCGCCTTCCTGCCTGCAATGCAAACTTTGCTCTTTATCGTATTTCAGCTTGAACGGATGATTACCGAAAAGCATTCCACTTGCTGCTTTGCAGCCGTAGGTGTACTATAGGTGTATTATATAACAAACACTGTTACCTTCATCAAAGTCTCATTAACACCCTCTCGCTTCGGCTAAAATCAAAGCAAGCGTTTGCCATCTGGGAAACTGCAGTTTGCAAGCATGTCGGTGCAGTTAGAGAACAACACAGAACTAATAAGAAGAATATGGGAGTTGTTTCACAGATCCTAGATCATTAAGAAGTTGTAGAAAAGAGCTGTTGTTCCTCAGACCCCCCGAGAGGCTGTCGCCATGGCAGAAATCTCAGCATCCCGCTAACAAGAGATGAGAAGAAAGTCAGCAGAAAAGACTTCAAAGACATAAATAAGGTTCACAGTGACTTACATGCTGTTAGCAGCCTTATTACTCATTGTGACACTCTAGTGAGATGTTTTAGGTGACACCAGCTGGGATTTGTTTGTCTTTTATTAAATAGAAGTAATGGACGCTGTACACAAACTCTACACAAGTCTGCTGTACTTTTCTAAGTGTGCAGTTTCTTGACATGTTGCTGACTGGCTTGATCAGCAATTGAATTAAAATCCATTCCAATCAGCAAGAAGAGGAACAAAATGAAATATGCAAATCACATTGAGTTACCTCATAGGCCCTGTTTACACACGGTATTAAGATGCGTTTTGATCGATCGGATCACAAGTAGACGAGGGAGACGCATACCCGTTTACGCCTGGTGTTTTAATCCATCTCTTTTGTCTACTTCTGTCCTGATTTCTTCGAGGGGAGGGTCTATGTAAATCTAGGCCTATGTGTTTTTTGTTTGTTTGTTAGATCTTTCAATCTAATTGACAAAATAAGGTTGTGCAGTTTATGAATCATTCATGTGACAAGATGAACGCACCGAAGACGGTAGAAAAACATACGGAGAGCAGCAACTTTCATTTCTGCTCTGATAGCCGCAAAGACTACGTCAATCGCTGTGAGTGTGTGTTAGAAATCAGCAACGGTGAGAACATTGTGCTTGATACATTTTTCGTCTTCAAACCAAACTTGAGTCTCCAGCCAACAAAGTGTAATTAATTTTAAATGGCATATGAAGGGTCATTATTATTGCATACTTATAATTAAGCACCAGTTGTTACACTAAAGTATTTGGACACTTAAGACACACTTAAAAATGTCTGAAAGTCTTTAACTGATTTTATTTTTTAATTACTTCTGAACATTGGTTTGGAGTGAACGCATTAAGTAATTTCTCCTCACAAATAGGAAGTAACCAAATTTTAAATTAATTTAAAACCGGTTAATTTTAAACCGAAACCCCTTATCTTAAAATAATTTTAAACCGAAGCCCCCATATCTTAAAATATGTCACTGCCATTGTTTAGTCTCAAGACACTACACACCATTAATGTTTTTTTTCTTCTAAGGGACGTTTATAAAAGCTACTTAAATTTCCTAATTGAACTAAACCCTACTCCTGGTTGAACTAAGCACAGATCTGAGAGCTTGAGTGTGCTTGTGCAACTTTTCTTTCAAATAAACGCTATTTGCTTTGATATTTTGTTTCATTAAATCTTTAAATGTGACACGAGTCCAAGGACTTTTTGAGTCAAGTATGAAGTCAATAAATGTATAGGGACAAAACCCATATTGGCTTTAATGGAATATTCTTCCATCTCTATCTTTGTAAATCTCTTGCAATTTCAGGAATCAGTCCCCTTCTCACCTGTGGACCAAGACTGCAGCGAGAGGAGGGCCAATGCTATTAAGACACCATTGATGCTGTGAATGACTTTCCCCTTTCCAACTACCTTCAATGGATCCATTTAGAGTCTGTAAAGGTGAGCTCTCCCTCTATATGAGATAGCAATAGACATGATGTCTGTTAGTCAGGGACGGATCACACACACAAAAACAATTATTAAAATTACACATTTACTCACCCTCATGTCATTCCAAACCTGTATGCTGTTGCTTCAGTGCGAATGTCTGAAGAATCTGCATGCAGTTATTTTCATATACTTGTGTCATATAAGGAAGTTAGCATAGGAGGAAATGAAGAGAAACTTCCAATCGATTTAAAGGAGTAGTTCACTTTAAAAAAAAAAATTGCTGATAATTTACTCACCCCCATGTCATCCAAGATATCCATGTCATTCTTTCTTTGAAAAGAAAAGAAATTAAGGTTTTTGATGAAAACATTCCAGCATTTTTCTCCATATAATGGACTTCAATGGGAACCAAACAGTTCAAGGTCCAAAAGAGTGCAAAAAGCAAACTGTTCAAAGAGCTTTAAATGATTCCAGACGATGAATAACGGTCTTATCAAGTGAAACGATCGCTCATTTAAAAAAAACACACAAAAAAAAAACCAAACGAAAAAAAAAACAAATTTTAAGTTTTATACGCTCAAATGGTCACCTTTCTCTGTAAAGCCCTGTTCACACTGCCAGCGACTTTGTCGCTGTGTGTCGCTTCGCTTTTGGGCGTTCGTAGTGCTGTCGCTCTGATGTTATTGGTAGACTGCACGTCTGGCCATATCTATACAAAATACCATCACAAGTGATATACGTACAACTATATAATTTTAATTTGACTTGAAATAAATGACTTTTAAGGCTAAAAATAAATCGTATGCTATTGGGAAAGTGTTTTTATATTACCACAGCAGTGTTCAGTGGATTCAATCATTTACTAGATTAACAATCGATCAATCAACAAATTAAACTCACTCATACTGTCATAAATTATAAAATTTTTGACAAATAATCAATTTTCTTGTGCCTAATAGTCAGGAGTAAATGCAGGGGAAATTGTAAAATGAACTGCAGCAGTGCTAAACATGCAGTAAGGATTGGGGTTTGGTTTAGGGTTACTTGCATATAATTATGCATCATTTACAGTTAGTTAGTATTAATACTGTAGTAAAATGCAACATGTGTAACAAGGACACTGAAAAATAAAGTGTTACCGCAATTTATAAATTTATTTTTCCCCAATTAATGTTCACCGTGTGAACAAATGATATTGTTTTACATAGATGTGCACAAGGGGTAAGTCAAACTTTCTTCGAAGTCGGAGGGGAAAAAAAAGTAGTTTTTGTAATAACCATGACCTATATGCTTCCAAGTATTCAAGTTCTTTTTTTGTCTTCAATGGAAGTGAACAGCATGCCATGAGTGTGAGTAAATGATGACAGAAGTGTAAAATATCACTTTAAATTGCAACAAATCGCTCAAGAAAATGTCAAAAAGGATTAAAATGTGATTTTAAATCCCGATATAGTGTAACTTTGCAGAGTCTGCTGTAATCTAGCAAAGCTACAGGACATGATGAAATCCTGTCATCGCCTTGAGCCACGAGGCGCTCTCTTCTCCCTCAGACCTGGTTCTGTCTCTCTCTGCAATGGAGATGATTCCACGTGACATCTGTGCTCCTCTCTGTCTGTACCTTGAGATCCATCCTATCTGAGCAGAGGGTGACTTTGAGCCTTGGCAGTGTGACAACCCTGGTGCTGAGCTCCTGCTCAGGCAATCAAAAACCAGGCATCGTATAGCGGGAGGAAAGAAAAAAAGAAAAGAAGAGAAGCTACAACTCAAGGTCAGCATCTGCAGAGTGTGTCGCTGAGATTGCCACTGGGCGGCGAGGTCAGGGTGCGGGCATGAGACAGCTTGAGAAGGAAGCGCCGGGTACCTGGGAGAGATGTTCTTTCTGTAGGCTGCCTCGGTCAAAGTTCAGGAATAAAAGCACAATGCGAAAGTGTGACAGAGCTGGAGAATGCCAAGGATAATAAGGAGATGCGGAAGCGTAAGCCCCGACTGGATTTCTCCAACTCGCTCTAAAGCAAAAGTAAACTTTAAAGGCCAGTAAATGATCCTGTGGTAAAATAGCTTACTTAGCTTAAATTCAACACTCTCGTACGTGATCACATGATAAATGCAGTATTTGAATCTTATGTAGATGTTATGCACTGGTCCAAAGAACATGCCAAGGACCTTGAGAATTGCTGAATTATTAAAGATATTTTAGGAATATTTAATGAAACACCCTTTTGTGGAAATAAGATGGAAGATGGTGAATCTCAAATATTAATGCCACAAGCATCCTGTAAGTCAGTTTCCAAATGGATTCTTTTTGTTTGACTTTACCTTCAAAAGATTCATGTCACACAGAAAACAATAACACCGCCCAAACCAACCATTACTTTGAACATTAATATCTTTTCTTTTTTATTAAGACAAGAACTCTCCATTTTTTTTGTAAAAATGTCTAATATGAACAAATACAAAATGTGTATGGGAATGTGGATATCATTTTTCTTCATTAATACATAGTAACATTGCCCAAGTACAGCAGAAAGACAAAAAATAACCAACCTAAAAACAATGAATGTAAAACTTTTAACACTTTTCAACCTATCTGGAACCAGAACAAGAAACATGTCAACTTTGAATTTTCCCCAACACACTCTCATGGCAACGCGTAACTACTTTACGGTTTGGTGAATTTCTATAATTTCACTTGTATGTTTTTTTGTTTTCTAAAACTCGTGAAATAATTACGTTTTCTCATGAGATCGGGTTGGTCCTTTACTGTCCTCTCTGTGTGAAGTAGGTCTGGAGAAAAAAAAATAATAATACTCAATATTGCGTGTACATTACGTACACGTTTTACAGTGCACCAAATAAACAAGAACAACACAAATATTAAACAAAACATGTCAAATTCTCCATTTGATTTGAAATCCAGCTTGATTGTTTTTTTTCCCACTTACTTAATCGGGGGCCGTAACTTTGCATTCTACCTGAGATGCAAACATACTGTTTATTGTACGTGAACCTGAGACAGGGTTTAAATTAAACTGTCAAGTTCAAATAAAAGCAATCAAAGCAAGTTCCATCAGTAACACTGTTGCACTATCAAACAGGGGGCAGTAACAAATCAATGAAAACAACAAACACAACAACAAACTACAAAACTGAAACCGAACCCAGTTCACATCTCAAAACTAGTTGTTATTTTTGGACATTTTCAATGAAACCTTTTTCGACTTGCTGTACAAGAAACGGATGATAAAATAGATCACTGGCGTAACCGCGTCGTCCCATCGACCGCCTATCTGAAGTCCTCAAACGCCTAGTAGAGTGGATTAAACCACATTAATCACATTTAAAACAGGTCTAACGTAACAAGTTGAACAAAATGTACATCGTCCCAGTCTAAATACCACAAATTAGTATACGGATGTCATGTCTCTCACGTACGCAAAAGAGGAGAAGGGATGTCTGAAATCCTGTTCAGAAGCTGCCAGACCAAAGCTAAATGATGCTCACTAGTTAAGCACAAGCCACACAACTGTATATCTCAACTGCAACGGTAACCATCAAGCTGCAAGACATTCCCTCGGATTTGTATTCTAAGTAAAAACGAAAGCGTCCAAAGTGTTCCTCATGGTTAATGCACATCCTCGAAAAAATAAAGCAAACAAGAGTGTGTTTTCCCCCCTCAACCTCGCCGTTTTATTTACACACTGAGCTTGGTTTCAGCAGGGTCTAAACTAAGGCATCTCACTTCACTTACACTACAGCGAGAGTCATGAGGAAGTGAGAAGAAATACTTCTCTTTAGGGAAAGTACTTTAGACGTCTTATCCACCTTACATTATGTACCCTCGACGGGTGCTACGTTTGTAGCTAGGCTTCAGTGAAAAGTGTAATGCGTTCACATGTTTTGTTTAGCGTCATGTGTTGACAACGACTGTAAATATAGGGGGAAGTCCACGTTATCGGGTAATTACATCACAGACTGTTTTCCTAAAATATTTGGAATGTTATTAAAAGCTTTTTTTTTTTTTTTTCTTATAAAGACTTATGTTTATTTCACTTTCCATTCAAACTAACCACATTTCAAGCCCGGGACTGCTGTGCGTGAGCAGGAACCCGGAGGAGCAACTCACAGCAATTATAAACAATAAAGCACACATTGCTTACAAGAGGAAATGATCTTGCTGTGGTGCTTTTTCGCACCATGTAGTCTATGATATTTGGGCAGTTTATATTAATATACTAGTATCACTAGGATAAGCTAGCTGCAGTCGCCACTATTTCCTCTGAGGAAGAACAAACAGGCAATTCACTTGACAGGCAATCATATACCCACATCAATGTCACATCCTTACTGACTCGCCTACAAACCAGATACACAAATGCAGATGTTTTCTGGCTGTTAAAATGCATTTTGAAGGTAGTAAAGTTATAGCAATCAAATCATTTCCACATCTTCCCTCTCTGTACATCTACAAACATGATAGTTGTGGCGCTTCCTCCCTCGAGTCTAACAAAACACTCCAAAACCAGAAAACGTCTCGCTTTGACACAATTTTAGGTAGTTAGTAACGTGTGCTAGAGGGTCACCTTCAGCAGCCCTGCATGGAAAATTACAGCATAAGACGAGAAAACAAAACGTAAGCCACAGTATTTAGACCTTTTTCAGTGATGGCGACTCTTTCGTCATTATGGCATGTGCGTTTTTGAATGAAAATGCAGACAAAACCTAAGACATCATTATATTGAAACAATAAATAACTGAAAGGGCCTTGTCTAACCGAGCAGCACGAGACGACAAGCCTCAGAGTAGCAGGAACTGTTCGTCTGCGCCACTGCCCATTCCAAACTTCAAATGTACTGGCACATACAGTATAATTCGGAAAAATAAAACTGAAGTAAAAAGAGGATAAAATAAGTCTGCAGCAATGCAGATGCACCCTGTCAAAATAAAACAGGTGCAACGTCCAGGATCGCTTCTCCCCCGGTCTCATCGAATTGTTGGGGGCCAGGAAGGAAGGAAGCTGCTTGTACTTCCCTTCATGATGCTGATGACCTGGGATTGAGCAAATCAAAACGCTGCCATGTGACTAGGCCTGCTCTTTGTACAGAGGATATGATGTTTTGAAGGAGATGCCCACAGTGTAGGGGAATGCATTGGGGTGGGGACTCATGTACCTTCATAGGAAAACAGACAGCATGTCGATAATCGGAGATGGTGGAGGTGTGTGAGTGTGTGAGTGAGTGAGTGTGTGTGTTCGGGAGGGGGGTTTTAGAGTTGTGACATGGTCAATGGCATTTAAAGCATGACTAAGAAAAGAAATTCAGAACAAGGCACAGAATTTTCTGCAAATGGTCGAGAAAGAACGAAAAATACCAGCAGTTGGGGAGGTGCTGTGTGGTGACGCTTTCTACACTCTTATCTGGCAACGTCTGGTATCCCGCCCACCCCTAAACCCCACCCCTGACCCCAAACCCGCTGTATAACACAAATACCTACATCTTCTCAGCTGCCTGTGTAGCATTCTACGTCATTCAATTCCAAGGAAAGAAAATCAAACAAACTGACAAATAAACAAAAATCTCAGTTCCCTCATGCCCCACCCCCTCCCGCCAAAAACAAAAGAAAATATTAAGAACGACAGAGGCCTCAGGACTCAGATATAGTATTCCTTCTTCTCGTCCGAGTTGTTGTGGCCCCCTTCGGCGTTGATGATGGCCGTGTCAGCGTCCGCCGCGTCATCTGCCCCCTTGGCTTCGTGTGTGAAGTAGGTGCCTGTGTGGGTTTCAGAGAAAAGCGTGTTGATAAAAGCAATATCTCCAGCACCCCAGGGCTTCTGATTGATGCAATTGCAGGGTTTTTAAAAGAGATTAAAAGACCACCTGGAGCAGCTTCTCTAATTTAGAGTGAGGGTCGATTCATGGGACTTTACCTGCCCATAAATAAGCCATTAATTTCACCACGCTGCAATTGGCTGCGTTATAATGCCTTTCATGTAAGTAAACAAAAGGTAACACGTTCCCAAACTAATGGAGACGCTTTGATTACGGCACGCCAAACGACACCTGACCCTCTAGATTGAGCGCTATTTGATAAAACAAACAAGGAGGAAACTAAAACTGAATCTGATACATACCCAGAAGAATAAATGTGTTATTTGTGGCAAATAATTCAGGAAATTTCCATAACATCCTCTCAAGGTTTGGGTTTGGTTTGACTTTGTGCTTTAGAATCAACCTTGGGAAGTGTTACAAGGAGGTGGGAATTAGCGATCCACTTCAAACTTCATTTCCGAGTGGGATTATTCCCATCCTCTCAGTCTGTGGTGTGATAATGAAGGCAGTAGCCCTGATGAAATGCAGAGATGCTGCGCCCACTTTATATTACAGAACACAACAGTGCGATGCACTCAGAGGGATACTGGCCTTAATGTGGTCGTAGCCAAGAGCCAATTCAAAGCACCCGCAGAGCTTCGACAGCAGAATGACTTATTTCCCTATTCAGAATCTTACCCAAAATAATTAGAAAGTCTATTGACCTTAGAAATGTGCTAAAAGACAGTCTGGGGGCTGAATTACCTTTGTGTCTTGCAAAGTATCGCCCCAAAACGATGAGAAGACACAACATGGCAAAGACCACGACGGCCACCACCCCTCCAATAACCGCATGGTCCAACGATCTCTGTGCTTCTGTTCCTGCTTGTGAATCTGAAAGAAAGAGCAAAGAGATGATGTTTTACTTGCAACAGTTTCAATAAACAGAACATTTAAAGTAACACTGCACATGAAGCCGATTCTTTGCATTTTTTTTATTGAAATATGTCACATTATAAATGTCTTTCCTGTCACTTTTAGTCAATTTAATACATCTTTGTGGAATAAATGTATTCATTTCTTTGAAAAAGCTTTTGAACAATAGTGTATCATTCATTTTAATCATTTGTATTATAACTGGTTAAATAACATACAGCTGATTATGAGGTGAATTATAAGGTACATATATTTATAAGAACAGGCTCTAGTGCAACCAAATGGCATTTTTTTTAGACAAGATACGCAATCTTACGATTCCATAACGGACAAAGACATTAGTACTAATCTTGCTCAGAATCATTTGATTAGCTATAACGTGAAATTGGAAATATTACTGGAAATAAGTAAATCATGTGAAGAGAAAGAACAGTATGTAGTAATACAAACATTTAGTTAATAAATGAGGAACATTTAATCATACAGTAAAACATAAGCATCTTTTGTGATGTGTGAAAGTACAGCCTCCAATAGGAATTCAAGTAAATCCACCTCTCTGGATTAAGACCTCCCAACTATAGACAGGCACCAAGCGGAACTGATGCAAACAGAAAGTGTGAGAGTGAAAATAGCTTAAACATTTACGAGAGTGGAGCTCTGAAGACACAGGCCTTTTTGTTTATTTTCTTCTGTCAGCTACACTCCTGACTAGAACTCAAACGAATCTGGCACAAACTGTGAGCTGGAGCCAGAGCTAAAGAAATACACTTTGCCCTCAAGACTAAAAGTGCGAATCACAAGCAATTTTTAACAAAGATTCATTCCATTTCACCCTGAGAACAAGGCAGGCCTCTGAGGCTGCGCGGCTTAATGATATGTGAAGTTTATTGATCAAGTGTAGGGATCCATGACAACCCAAAGTTAATGCTGGTTTGTGGACTTGATTGGTTCTTCACAGAGCAAAGGAGGAGCAAAATTTTTCATCAATATCTCACACTCGGCTCGGAAATTTAAGAGTTTGAAGAGAAGTGCTGAGAGAAAATAGACAGGAGACATCACTCCAGAGCCGGCCAGCGAAAGACATGAAAGACTAAACCTGTTAATTATCAACACCAGAGATTTTCACATTTCATTTCATAGCTAACATTTTATGTACCTTAAATCCAAACAAATAAATATTTGCACACTTTGCATCATTTGACAATTACAGCTTGAATGACACAATGACTTGTTTTATGTTTTTCCCACGCATGACAAGTCTCATTTCTCAAGAATCTTCTTTACTGATGAGCGAGGTGGAAATAACTCGAAATAACTTTAGAATACAAAATAACTTAAATAACTGACAAATTATTTTCAAACAATAAATATTGAAATGACTTGTATGTCAACTATTCGTTTACATTATCATAGTTGTAGCCCACTTTATAGCCCTCAACCCTGTAATTGTGGACAAATATGGACACACAGGACTCAGGTGTGATCCTAATTTTTATTTATTATAAATATTATATCACTGTCTTCGATAAAGTCTATCCATTTATGGTGTTTTTTTTATTTTGGGGTATTTTTGAATTTATTTACCTTAAAAAGTACCATATTTTCTATGTAAATTATGCTTATTTTTTTTATTTTTTTTTTTTTAACTACATTAAAATATCATTCCAATAAGTTCTTAGAGCTAAAACCTAAAGACGAAGTGACTTTGCTGTCACCTGGTGTCTGATCTTGGCTTATTTTACAATGCTGTAAATTACAATTTTTCCCATTTATTTCTATGGGTGCCCATTTTTGACCCAAATACAAGATTAAGGAGTTTTTTTCTTCACCAACTTAACATTGTAGAATTGAGTCAAAAAAATTTGTGTGTGTTCAGGAGGCAAACTTAGGAAAAGTCTTGTACCACTCAGATCAAGGGAAGCATTTTTTTTTTTTAAATAAATCAAAACTATTTTGCCCACATTTGTCCAGAATACGGTTTTAGGGTTAAACATCATAAAATACCATTTTTTAAATAATAGCCTATTTTAATTTTAATATTGAAAGTCTGAGTCTGGAACGAGAGTAAAACAACAAAATCTATACATAAAAGGCATCTGAAAAGCAGCTACTATAAATAATGGAGGAATGATAATGAGTCTTCCGAGATGGGTGTAATGCGACCTTTACATACCATAACAAAAAAAAAAACCCTGAAATCTCTTAGTCTGAAGAAAAATCAAGCCCTGGGAACACCCAACAGGGAGCAGAGCATGTGAACTCTCTGCTACATCTCACGGTCCATGTCCTGTTTTATCAGTCCACGGGCTCATCCCCACTCCAAACATCTCACTCGATAAAAAAATGCGATGAGAAGGGAAAGGAAGCGAGGGGAAGGATGTCTCGACTGAGCAATCCGATGCTTGGTAATCCAGTCACGAGGAGTTGATCAGCCTTCCCGTGTTTACCCACGGCAATCTCCCGCTCTCATCTGTGGCCTGAGCCCGAGAGCTGAGGGGATTTCCTGGGGGAGTTCAAAAAACAAAAACGGCAGGCCACAACTTATTAGAGGATAACGAAAAGCGAGAAAGCACAGAGCGGTGTGCTTGTACAACATCCCACCCAATCTCACCTCATAAACAACTCCTGTGTGAGAGGGGTGGGGGTGGGATGCAGGGATGATGCTGCCAAACCCAACAAAACATGACTTGATCAACCTAATAGGCTAGTTTGACTTCAGATTTCCCTTTTTGGGAGGGAAGGCAGATTCAATTAAAGTCAGTGGGAATCTGCTTGACACCTAATTCACGCTTGTCAAAGGCAAGAAGGGAGGGTCTAAAGACGTGATTTAACTCTCATTCCTATTAAGATGTTAATATGTGTTCTGGATGGAGAGATAAACAGAGATCGCTCTTTCTCTTAAACCTCTTTCCCCATCCACTTTGCGGCGAGATCCCATTGCCGGGTTGTCCGCAAACGCCGATGGGCTTGATGCCTGCTTGGGTCGTTCTCTCACTGAATGGATTTGATAGGAATTAACATAACTTAACAAATGGAGTGAAGACCGGGACAGGACTGTCTGTTCCCATTCAGTTTCAAGTGATTTTAATGCCCTCTTTCTCCTTTCCACCCTCTACAGCCTTAAGATAAATGAAGGGGTGTGCGGAGCTCAGCCACAGCGATGAGAAAGAAGATTGAGGTCCGCGATCATGCCACGTTCGGCGGAGCGCTGGTGTGTTGGGCCGCCCCTTAACACAATGACTGAACCGTAATTCAATAAGAGTCCACTGTGAACCAACAGTTTGGCTAATGTGTAATTCAAGAAGCAGATGGTTTAGAAATGAGTAATTCTCAAGCAACCTCCTCTAATCTCAGCAGCCATTTTGCCTCCGGAATCTTCAGTAATTCCAAGAAATTGCCATCTTAATGAAACCCTAGAAATTTGCTCTCATCTCAATTTGACTAGACTGAGTCACATAATTATACGCATTGCGTGGTGCTTATGGAAGAATCATTACCATAAACAGTATTCCTGTTTAACGTTTATGACTGCAGAATAAGAGACTGGAATACCCAATTACCCAGTTAGATAAGTGAAGGAATGAATCTAGATGGAAAGCATACGCTTATTCTCCAGAAAGTGGCAAAAGACTGCGCCATCGGGCACTGATAAAAGCAGACTTTGATCTGATCCAAACGAACTAAGTCTGAGATGGGGTCCAATTTTTGTGCATTGGCATTTGTGGGAAGCTCATCCAAGGTCAGGACTAAAGGATAACTTCAATTTGGAGTGTGCCGTTACATCGTACTGCACCTCCAGCTACAATGAATCGCTAGTCGGGTCTGACACTCATCCAAGAGTCCACAGTCTCGAGTTTCAAAATTATCTGTCCTGTGGTGAAGGAGGATTGCTGTGAGCTCTCAGGGTTCACACCTCAGGTAGCTTGAGGTGGTGTTGAGGAATATGAGATGGGAGAGAGAGAAAGAGAAAGAGCTTCATCAGTCTCAAGATGATGCACTAAGCATGTTTTCTTTTTTTTTTTATTTGCCTGAAATGGGGTAAATCACCTGGCTGGAGTGGACACCTGCCGAACTACAGTGAGAAAACATGATGAAAGATCCTATCGGTTTTGCGGTTCCGCCGAACAGTTTCTCCAACAGAAATGCTGCAGTAGTTCTTCAGCACCGTATATACAGAAAACCTGAATATTTCTCTCATTTTGCTTGAGAGCACTCTAATCCAGTTACGTTAAGATGAAGTTATCACACTCAAACACACAGACCATTATGTAACTTTTCATTAGATTCCCTGTTTCTTGCCTCAATGTAGTATACAGCTTTGGCTTACAAATTAAAAAAGAATATTTAATCTACCGCCTCAGCCTCCATGGCTGGGGAGTAGCTAACTAAAAGTAGTGACACTAACCTTACTACATTTTTTAGCAGCTGATCTGATTGAAATATACTGTTGCTTTTCTGGTAACATGTTACTTCTGCAATAAGTTGAGAAAAAATAAAACACTCTCCTATTTATCATTATATACTAAAACGTCTAAAACTAAAATGTCCTTATACAATTATATGATTCAAGTTATAAGTATATTTATAGGTACTGTATACACAAACAAAGTACTGTTAATTGTCTACCTGGAAATTATCTGTTAAGTTTTAACCTTAAAACACAACACAAAACTGCATAATTTAAAATCCTCGTAAAGCGCCAGCTAAAAATTACTATTTTTTGGACTCTTCTGTTTAGAAAATACATTTTAATGCAGTCAGCAGCTACTACTTTAAATAAAAATCAAATAATGGGAATGAAAAAAAATATAAATATATATAATCATAAATAATCAAAGGAGGCCGGTTAAGTAGCATGGGTAAGTACGTAGCATGGGTAAGTCTGTATGTCATGTACAGACGAGATCAGACAATGAGTGCGTGAAGGGGAGCTGAATATAAAGGTGATGGAATGATGA